TCAAACTGTCTATGCTCATGTGCCCTTGCTCTTGGCTGTGAGACTTCAACTCCTTCAACAGCTTCCATCAACATATCTAAACCACGCCTCAACTGGATTCGTATCCTCTCGTTTGCTGAAAGCTCTTGCGGGAATAACCCTTTCCAACCATTATACCAATCGTGGATCTCTTCGAACCTCGGGTTAGAACGCAACCATTGGTACAACACCTCCAGCCATTTGGGGAAGAAGAACCTCTCCATCAAATCAGCCATTAGATGTACGGGTACTGCAGATGCCCACGTCATAACCCAATTGAACCGGTCCAAATTCTGGTTTGCCGGGTTTATCTGCAACTCATGCAGAGCCAGCTGAAGTTTGGGAACTATGTACCGGCGCATAAGTTGTTCCCAGCTTGTAGCATCAAAAACCGTTTTCCATGGAGAAAGAATAGTGTAGACAGATAAATCATCAGGACGCCAAGCATCAAGAACATTACTCAGTTTCATCTGAATGATCTGATACATAAACTCCAATTTCTGACCAAGTATTGGCAACCAAGGATGCACCCAAACATGGATGGCAACAACTTCACTTCGTGGGTTCCAATTTTCAACAGCATTTGACAATTTTGGCAGCACTACTGTGTCCAAAATCGTATGCAAGACAGATGAAGGCAGCAAATTTTCCCATGCCTCTAAAAATCTAAGCATCGGCTCAGGGTCTCTATGTTCCCAGGTGTTGACGCCTGCTATTCGCACAGCAGGTAGAACTACCTCCGAGACTAGTTGGCTATAAGGCGTTGACATAACCCAGATACTTTGATTTTCCTCGACTTCCAAAAGCTTTCTCCAGGAAGAAATAGCATTGATACCATGCAGTGCATCCCTAAGAGGGTTCCAACCTTGAAACATCCTGATAAAGTGAGGCAAAGCCAGTGAGCAAGCAATGGTGGACAAGTTACAAAGCTTGTAGTCATCAGGATAGTTTGTTTGCAGGTCCTCGAAGCGATTAGCAAGTGTATCCAGAGTCAAATTCCCAGACGTATTCTCCAGCTCAATTCGACTTATTTCATCTGCTATATATTCCATATTGTCTAAGTGCCTTTTCTGTTTCTCTTCCTCCTTTATAAGCATCTCCTTCTCCTGCTGCAAGCTCAAGGCTGATTCTCTTTCGTTCCTCAAGTCCCTATCAATTTTCTGAATTTCATGCTCGACTAAATCAACAATCAGTCTTAAGTTGTGTTGTAACTCTGGCATTGGAACATCTGCTCCTCTTGCTTTCTCCTCCGCATCTAAATTTTCCAAATTTGTCACAACCCGAACCTGCGGTCCTCGCATATCAATAATGGTCTGCCCACCACCAAATCCTTCTTCCTGCTTCTTCTCCAACAACTCCTCGGCAGTGACATAAACTTCCTTCCTCACCTTCTTCTTCTTCCAAAGATTTATCCCTCCTCTATCACCATTATTCCGATCATTCTCACTAATACTGACTCCAACAGTCTTCTTTTCCTCTACTTTCTTTAAATCAGGCAACTTCGCCTCCTTGAAATCATTGTACCCCATACCCATATTCTTCGGCCTCAGCTGTGCTTCAATAGGAGCTACAATACCTTGCTGGTTCTTCCCAAGCCCACCTCCCTTGTACCCCATCTTTTCAAGCAGTTTCATACCAATTCCTTTAGTAGACTTCTCAAACTTACCTATATCACTGCCTAAAGTATCCTTCTTTCCTCCCTTTGCACCAGCCACTTGACCTCTCTTCTCCATCTTGGCCTTCCCTCTCATCTTTGCCCCTTCAGCTATCTTCTTCCCCAATGCACCGGGTAAGAGATTGTCCTCCTCGTTAAAAGCAGAAGCATTAAACCCTAACCCTAAACCTGAGCTTCCAATACCCAATCCACCTCTAACTTCACTATCTTCATCAATCATGTCACTGTCTTCGATTCTATCACTATCTTTCTCATCATTATGTTCTCTAGAATCCCTATCAATCTCTTGATTCGGCATAACCGTACCTGTAGAAACAAAATTGACAGGCTTTGTTAAGTCGGCTTTTCTTCCCGAATCCAGATCTTTACGCCTCTTCCTCCGACCGCCGCCGCCGCTAGAACCATCGGAATCTGAATCGCTCTCGGCGAAGCTTCCATAGATAGCGTCGTGCTTGGTTTGTTTCCGCTTCTCCTTCCTCTTTTCGTATAAGAACTCACCATCTTCCCATCGACCTCCTTCGTAATCGTTTTCCATGGAGAATCTCTCCATCTCCTGATACTCGTCCATGGCGAAGAATTCAGATCCGAAACTCTGCAAAATTTCTGAGGAATAACAAAATCGAAACAATCTGAGGTTTTCGGATTTTCGACTGCAAATCGCCGACGTAGTCGCAGCTTATCGGAGAAAAATATTAACTCGTTTGGGCTTATAAAATAAGATGGGCCCATTTAATTGTAAACCAAAGCCCATATATTTGGAAACTTATTTATTACTCTCACGTGCTGTTTTAATTGAGTATCATTCTTAATGGAATTTGCTTTATAATGGTGGGTTTTGGATTAGATATTTTAGGTTTTGGATTGGATTTGAGTTATTTAGATTAAGAATTATTGTACCAAATTCAATCCAACTAAAATTTGGATTGGATCTCTTAAGTTTTGGATTGGGTTTGGGTTATTTGGATTAAAAATTATTGTATCAGATTCAATTCAATTAAATTTTGGATTGGATTTTTTATGTTTTGAATTGGGTTTAAATTGTTTGGAACACAAATAATTTTAACAAAATAAACTTAATTAATTTTATTTGAGTTATTTGGTAAAGTATTCTTCAAATTTCTATCGATGATTTCTTTTATACTAAAAGTTTAGTTAACTTATCATTAGGTTAATAGTAAAATTAGGTAAATTTACGTATACTGAAAATGTTAATAGTATAATACTATTATTGGTATAAATAATTTTACATATGCTTACAAGATTAATCGTAAACTGTTAATTTTGATTTAGGTAACTTTACATTTATATTGAGTTATGTACTAATATAATATATGTAAGAAAAAATTTGGATTTTATTTGAAGGTTTTAGTTATCTAAAGACCAATCCAAATAACCCATATCCAAATTAATATTTATTATTCCATCAAAATGGATTTTTATATGAATCCAAATTTATACTAATTCGGGTTGT